AGGATGTTTGTATAATTTTTGACTATATTATTTAAATAGTCAAATTTTTTATTTTTTGTTACAACTTTTTTAAATAATTTTGTTGAAGTTAAAAATATATGGAAACTCTTCTCTAGATTTCACGATTACAGAACATCACAATGATCCTTTTCTAATTCCTATTTAAATTTCTTATTTAAATTTCCTATTATTTCTTAAATTTCTTTTATTTATTTTCTACAATTCTTCGATTTTTGCAACTTTGAATTATTATTACTTTTCCAATCATACAATAATGGAAGGAATAGTCTTTAGCATACATGTACATAAAAGCTGTGTATTGTATTGCAAAAGTGTCCTCATTATTATAACATTTTGCTTGCCAAGATTTTCGTCAAAAAAAAAATGAATAAATTACAAAATGCTGGGATCTCGCATTCTAGTTATTTATTAATCATATCATATAATTGCATTTCACAAAATAAATAAGAAAGTGCTTATTAAAACTTTAACGTCGATTGTTAAAATTTACGACACTCATTGTTTTTCTCTGAGTGCATCGATGCCTTAAAAGAACGTATCGCATTACACATCGCATTTAGTCGGTCTAAATTCGTAATTTAACGATTTAACTTGCTCATCTAAAAATAATTCATTTATACTTTTTATAAAAAAATGATAGAATATTTTTAAATAAAATAATATACTTTTATCAATTTAATTTTCTCACGTAATACGATTATGAATCAATATTCCAATTATTTATTGGAATATTGATTACTATTTATTATTGAGATAATTGAATGATCGGATAAAATTTTTATCATTTTATCAAATTTTAATTAATTTTTATGCTATCAATAGATGTTTATTAAAATCTAAATAATTATTTTATATAAATAAGTTGATGTTTTGTTTTATATAAAAACTCATTCAAAAAATTCAAATTATTATAAAAAGTTGATATTCTATTTGTTCTTTTTTTATTTTTAACATAATAATTGTATAAATCGTGACCAACGTGCTTAAGTGACTTATTATTGGGACAGTCATTTCAAGATGAAATGATTATGATAACATTTATCTCATATAAATATATTTTGTCAGAGAAACAGCTGAGTGAATATTTGATATCTACTTTTAATTAAGTATATTACATGTTATGTATATAACATTACAGATAATAAATAATGCGCATGACGATAGGAAATATGGATCCATATCTTAAAAAATATATTGGTTAAACTTTTATATTAAATATTCAACACATTTATATATATATTAAACATTCAACATATTCGTAAATTTGTTTAGATATTTGTTGTATAAACTAGATTGTTTTTTTGTGATTTTATATTTAAGTAATTTTAAATGTAAAATTATTAAAAACTTCTCAAAAAATGTTAAATTAACACAACTTGTTACTTTTAAATAATAAATATAATTTTATATTATGATGAGATTAGATTCATTTTGCATTAAAAAATTAATATTGGTACCGCTATATTAAATTAAATAAGACCACAATTTGGATAAATCATTTGAAATATATGAAATGCATTTACGTATTAAATTTAACATTAAATTTTTGTTTCGTAATAAATTGAAAGCAAAGAAATTTAAATGCAAATATATTGATGTAGAAGAACGTTTATGCTGTCAAAAAATTATTTAATTTTAGTAACAGAAGATCAATATCTCAATGAAAACAAATTTTGTTAAATGCAATCCGGCAATATTTCATAATAAAATTTACAATTTATTACATTCGTGTGTGTGTGTGTGTGTGTGTGTGTGTGTGTGTGTGTGTGTGTGTGTGTGTGTGTGTATTTGTCTTCAAAGGATGGAGTTCATCCTATGATGTAGCGAAATTATTTCTAATCCATGTGCATGCCATTTTTCGCACATTAAAGACATCTGTTCTATCCCACTCGGCTTTTCCCCTCCACTTCGCAAATACAACACAGCAACGTGTTGAACGTGTGCGATCTTTCAGCGAAGGATAAAGTCATTCTGCAGACGACAATCGAGCGTTCGACTGACAGTAGCCCTGGCGATCATGCTTCCACTACTGCTCGTTGTCCTCGCGCTTCAATACGGTACCAATCAGGCATACACGTGAGTACCAAGCTGAGAGAGATTGGTCCCGTTTTAATTTTGTTTAATTTTCCAATCTAATTTTCGATACAACGGAAAATAGCTATAGCTTATATTAATTGTTACTTGTGTTGCTATTTTTACATAAAAAATATAAAGCTCATTCCGGTTTGTAGGTTGTCACCACCGAATCATAAATTATTGTTAATATCTTTAGCATTTAACAATTCTTGACTCTCACAGTTTTTCTAACTCGCAAATCATACGATTTAATTTTGAAGAAAAGAAAATACTCGTGGAGGCTTCAAAAGGGTAATTGTATATATAAAGATTTTGATATAATTGACGTTTGATTAAAATCGGTAATAATTTTGATAAATTTAAATTTTGATTCATTGAAAAGTGTTATGTCAGTGAGTTGAGTTTTATTATCAAATCGCTTTCATCTTGTTGTCATTGTCAATTATTATCATTTCAATTATTATTATTATTATGCTGGAGACAATGCGTATACATATATCGTGACTGCTCCAAAGCAATCGAGTAATGGTGTTCGAATCACTGTTCGATCGTATGTATTAGTTTTAAATAGAAAGGTAATTCCACTTAGTATACGGTGAAAGCAACAGGTGGGTGAGTTTATTGAGAAATAGACCGCATCGATCGCTTCGACGTCTTCCCGAAGTTCAAAGACATTTGAAAGATTATTGAGTTTTTACTGCCTCTCGCACTCCTCCAAGCTTGAATGCGGTAATATTGTAAATGTCCACTTAGGAATCTTTTCACGACGACTCAACGTAACGGTGAATAATAATGAGATAGAATCAACTGTTCTCTTTCTTAATAAGAAAGAATTATTTTTTTGACCTTCGATAAATTTATTTGCAACATTGTAAATTTATAATACATACAAAATAATTTTATTCTTTCTTATAATCGCACTTTTTTTTTAATATGAAAAAATGAATACAATAAGTAAATATAAATACGATATAATATTAAAAAAATTAATATGTAATTTATTTGCGACAAATTTGGTTGATTGATAATTTATTTCTTATCTATTATATTATATTATCTATTATATTCTTATCTATTATATTATATTATTTATATATATCTTATCTATTATATTATTATATTATATTATATTATCTATTGTGTTATTATGTTTGTACTATTATATTATTATTTATTTCTTCTAGTATTCTTATCTAGTTATTATCTCGAGTACTACTATTATGCTTTCGCGATTAATTTTCATACAGCTAAAGCAAAGAATTGCAGTTATGCAAAAATAATAAAATTAGTAGTGAACAAAAAATAATGAGAAAGTTTAATGAAGTAAAATTAAACGAAGACGAAAAATCATTTTCTTGAAATGTTTGATAATGCCAATTTTTTTCTTTCTTCAAATTACAGTTCTCCTTGGCACTACAGATGCGATGGCGGTCTGTGCAAGAAGATATTGATCACTGAACAGGACACCAACCCGGTCGCTCTTAGCATATGTCAATTATCATGCGGTCAAGGTGGAACTCTGTGGCCGAAGCCGACAGGACATATGTCCTTCGGCAAAACTGTGGTACAGCTTAATCCTGAGAACATCGTTCTTGCCGGAATATCCACTCAGACGGTAGTGGGAAACCTTCTTCAGAGAAACGTGGATCTTATGAAGGAGAATGCGAAGAAACTTAGTGGTCCTGTCTCTTTGAATGCAGGTGGGACCGGGCTAGTGATACGTTTTAACGAAGGACTTGATTCCACTAATGCTAAGTTGACCTTGGAAACGGACGAGAGCTACACTCTTCAAGTGGTTATGGTCGATGGACAGGTAAGTTACAATAAAAAAAGTTAAGTTATAAAAACAAGAAATCCGATGTTGAATAAATTAACATTTGTATTCTCATAAAAATATCAACGGGTCTAGATCACCCAGCCAAATAAATTCCAATTTATTTGAAGTAATATATTTATGTAAGATGAACTAACTCAAAAATAAAACTTTATTTTTTCATTTTAGAATAATCAAAATTTGTTTTTTGTTTAGTTTTTTTTTTCTATTTCCTTTTTCCTTATTCTTCTTTTCTATTTGAACATCTCTCTATTTTCTTTCTCACTTTCCAATTCTTTTTTATTTTAGACTGACCAAAATTTAAATATTCTTTTCTGTATTCTCTACATCTTTTATTATTGCATTCACTCTTTGAACTTCTTTCCTCACGTATATCTTCTGCTATTTTTTCAGATTTTTTTATCACAGTTTTTCTCTTCATCTTTTTGCCTTGTTATTTTTGAAAGCAAATCACACGAAAATTTAAAAGTCGCCTTAAATAATAAAATATCTAAATATCATTATTATTAAGATTTATTTATATATTTATATATATTTATTTATATATCAATATATTCGTAATTAAAATTTATAAAAATAATTTTTAGGTAGAAGCCCATATCACCGCAAACACGTATTTCGGAGCTCGACACGCAATGGAGACCCTCAGCCAGCTGATCGTCTTTGACGACTTGCGCAATGAAATTAAAGTAGCCAATGAAGTATATATCGTAGATGGTCCGAAGTATCCTTATCGCGGGATCCTTCTGGATACCAGCCGAAACTATGTCGACAAGGAGACGATTCTGCGGACAATCGATGGTATATCCATGTCTAAGATGAACACGTTCCACTGGCACATCACCGACTCCCAGAGTTTCCCCTACGTCAGTAAAACGTGGCCTGATTTTGTCAAGTACGGTAGCTACACGCCGACCAAGATCTACACATCCGAGATGATCAAGGAAATCATCGATTACGCCTTGGTTCGCGGTGTCAGAGTCTTGCCGGAATTCGATGCACCTGCGCACGTCGGTGAAGGCTGGCAGTGGGTGAGTTATAATTTCTACGGTGTTAGCAAGTGGATGTGACTTCTGACAAATAGTACTCGTGATACATCTAATAGACGATAGTTTGCTTCTATCTTGGAATGGAAGTCATATAAGACGTCTTCGTTATCATGAAAAAAAATGTGGATTTATATTTAACAATAATTACAATACTCAACTTCAATATATAACTATAATATCAACTTCAATATCATGTAAATTTATAATAGCGTAAACGCTGAAAGACTTTACCTTAAATGTAAAATGTAGTATCATGATATATATATATATATATATATATATATATATATAATAATATATATAATAAA